TAGGGAGGTATTCATGAGTCAGAGAAATGAAATGATTTCCAGGGAACACGTCAGAGTAAGAATTGCAGTTAGTTCTGGATGGAGATCACCGCAGCCCCAACAACTGAAGAATGCAGAAATAGACTGGTGGAGTACACCGTTTAGAAGATGGGTAGAGGAATGTGAAGTATGATAAGTGGATCTGAGGGGTTTAGAAAAGATAGGATCATTCTAAGCCTTTGGCTACTTGTGGATTGCACGGTGCACTGAAGCCAAAAAAACAGAATACCTGCCATGGCTGCAGCCGTCGTTGTTCTAGCCTGTCTCCTGCATGAACCACCAGAAACCTCTTGGATCGGGATGCATAAGCGGCATTTAAGGCATGGGCCACAGCTTGGACACTTTTATAAATATTGTAGCTGTCTTGTGACAGGATCCTCTCAATCTCCTCCTGGGACAGCATCTCCAGGTTCTTCTTCTCCCTGCATCTTGTCCAGCCTTTCCTGGATAAGCCATGCTTGGAATAGAAGCAATCAAAAGCTGTCAGCCAAAACTGTGTCATATCTGGTGACATTGGCCCATAGTGGTCATAATTTGTCTTTCTCTTGGTGTTCACCACGAAGGAAAAAGAGCCATGGAAGTAGTGAAAGGACTGGGGGTGACTAAAGACATTCAGGAAGATATCCTGAAAAGAAGTTGTGATCCAGACTTTCATCCCAATCTTTTCCACTTCCAGCCTGCGCTGGATTAAGATGAAATGATTAAATCCATAGCTAGAATCCCAAACATAAACATAAACAATTATCTGTTTCCACAGAAGAAGTGGTACACTCCTCATCAAGCGGGAGTAATTCACCTCCACTTGTAGTCCTTTTGAGAAGGCCACACAAATTCCACTGGTGCCAAACAGATGGGTCAAAGTTCTCAAGAACCTTTCTCCGTTGTCATTCCTTGGAACAAAGAGACCAATCCAGGTCCAGCCAAAATGCAGGAGCAGTTTAACCATTCCCACAACCTGAATTTCTTCATTTGGGACCATCCAGTAGATGAAAGGAAACTGGTTCTTCTGATGAAGGGCCTGAGAACCAAAGCCATAACTCATCTAATGAGGAAAATAAGAGAAAAGGAGGTTTTCTTTAGCACAATAATGTTATTTATAAACCTAATAATTATTCATACCCAGCAATGGGTTCATCATTACAATGGGGCAGTCAGTGAGCTACCCAAGTACTCCTTGTGCAGCAGTTTTTCTGTGCTCTCTGTTGAAAGAAGGACCACACCGGCCTTTTGGAGCTGAGATGGGGACAAACCACCCCGGAGCAGAGCCCCCAGAGCCAAAACACCAGCATCCCAAAGGCACTGCTCTCTCTGAATCATGTACTTGATGTGTACATTGGGAAAAGTGGTGGAAAGCTGACTAGCAAGCATAAAGGATACATCCTCCCAGAAGGAATGGATTGCAACCATGCACTTAGCCAAAATAGAGTCAGGAGCTCCCTGTTGGAACCTTGGTACAGATGGGTTGATTAAAACTGTTCCTGAGTGCTTCTGCTTGGGAACTGGAGACCCTACTCTTATGGGGCTCCATTTAGATGGGGTAGTTCCTTGCTGGAAATGTGAAGTAGGAACTCAGTTTTCTCCCTGTTCCCTATGCCTGCACTCCCCTGCTTTGCTGCTTCTACAATCCTTCTTTTTAAAACGCAGGCAGCCAGAATGGTGTTCAGCTCACTGAACTGGAGACATTTTATCATAACTCTAGGAATGAACAGGAGTTTGCTTTTACAACACTTTTGGCCTCACCATGGTCTCCTCCATCTCATGTTGCTCTCCTTCTTTGCAGTCTCATTTCTGTCCAAGGTGGAACTGCACATAGCTCACCCCTTCCCTGTCCCGGTTCCTACCTGTGGAGTTTTGTAGATGCCTGACATGGCTGAAATGTGCATCGTTATATCAGATTCGGCCCCTTCCACAATGGCCAGTGGGTTTTTCCACCCTCCACAGCTGTAGTTGGGAATGTTGCTTTCCCCTCCAGCAAGCAGGTCCACCATGGCATCAGAAGTGATTCTGCCATGGAAGTAGGTCTCGTAGATGTTGTAGCCCAGGGTGAGGTTGGGCAAGAGCCCAGGACTCCAGTTGACCTCCCGAACGGCAAGGAGGAAAGACAATATGTGCCAGTATCGGACAAACTTCTTTTCTATCCCGCTGGAAAATGGAAAAGAAAAAACAGTGACACTCTCTCTTCTTTTCTTTCCTGACATCTCTCCAAGGTTGCTGTCCAGCCCATAGAGGACTGCATATTGGGAGCAGGGGAATCCATTTATTAATAGTTTATTTAAGATCTCACGTTGACTTTTCAAAAAGTGGGCAAGGGATACTGTAAATGAAGGAAGAAAAGCAGAAGGAAGCACAAACACCCAAAGAAGCAACATTTGGAGACGCTAAATCAGTTCAAGTGACAACTGACCCTACTTCTTAGTTCAACCAAAAGATCTTCTGCCTGCATGTTCACAGCAGTCCTGGGGACAGTGACTGATGAGAGGTGTGTTGTGGCTGCATGAGCAGCCTACCACAATGCATAAAACAAAGGAATAGAATACAAATAACATAAAACCAAAAAATTTATTTAAACTTACATCAAAATAGAAGAAAATATCCAGCAAGAAAAGCATTGGGATAGTCCGTCAGACCCTGAGACCAAAAGGATGGCATTTCTGTTGGTCTTCCAACCCTCCTCCTGTGATTCCAATGGTTACACAGACACCAGAACTTCAACAGCTATGCCTTTTCCCCCTCCCTGCTTCACCTGCTTTCTCTAAACTCTTCCCTGATGAAATGATCTGGGGATCAAGAAAGTTGTCATCAGCAACAGAGATATGTTTGGTTGACCAAATGAAGGTTTTAGATTTGAGGGACCTTTCAAAGGTTTCTTCTGCCCAGGACAGTAGCCTGTGCCTTTTGACTGGATGTAGAGAAAGGTGGACAGGGATATCCCTATAAAGGATTCCCTTCTCTGCAGCAGTGAAAACAGCACCTTATTTCAGATGTGGCCAAGGATTGATCACAAGAGAAGGGCAGGTCCACATAGGGTGAGACTGTCCTCCAAGCAGACTGGTCCCAACTCCTTTGCCCATTCAAAGCCTACTTGGAAAACACCCATGGGAAAGGCCAAGCATGCTTTGGATAACCTGACATACCAGAAGATTGGAGCTGCCCTTGGCAAAGGGAAGCAATTAGAAGGAAGGTGGGAAAACATTTATTCCTCCAAGAAAGCATCACTTACCTGTTAATTTTGTTCAGGGGAGGCTTAGAAAAGATGTATGGTGCTTTATTTATAGCATGCTTTGTAGACAGGATTGCACTGATGAGCTGGTCTCCTGGCATGTGATAATTCTCTGCATTGCTTTCATCTTGGATGAGATTCAGGGTGCATTTTGCCTTCTGTATCTTGCAGGCTGCATGGGGCAGGCCCAGGAGCAGCAGGAGAGGGATCATCCTGGGCCTGCCTGCTTCCCTCCCCTCCCTCTGTCAGCCTGTCTCATCAGCAGATGTGGAGAATCCAGGAAGCCCTTGCAAGGTTTGTCTTTGGCCACACCAGGAGCTCTGAGTCAGTGAAGAGCTTTCTGGAATTTTCAGCAAGCCTAGGTGGCCAGCCTACCTACTTACCTGCCTGCTTTCTCAACTTGGGAGACATTTTATTGGCCTAAGCTTTCAGATACCCTGCAAGCTGTTCCCAGCTCTTCCCCTCAAGGACAGTCTAGTGGACAGTCTAGTGTGTTGGCCTCCAAGGCCATCTCCTGGGAAAACCATTTCTTCAGCTTTGCTTTGGGAGCAAACTGGGCATCAGTGTACTATAGTTAATTACAATGTTGAAGCAGCATCCCCTCTGAAAGTTCCTGGATTCCAAACAGCCTGAGCAATAGGTGGTAAGCGGGAGAAAAACATGCCTGCAAGAACTTACCAAGGGTTTTCCAGAGTTTGAAAGTGAAGCTTGGCTGGACACCACCTGATGATGCACCTGCCTGAGAACCAGGCTAAAAATAATTTTTTAGATTACATGTGAAAGTACACACAGCATCCATTGGTCACTGTTCAACAAGATGAGCACATGGCAAGTCTTGAGTCCAAAGATGGGGTCACCCTCTGCCAATGTGTCCCCTGTGCCAGAGAGTGGCTCCATGGTGTGCTGGAATGGAGTGACAGTCTCCTTAATCCTGTTTCTCACGTTCCCAGGAAACTGGTCCTGGGAGGCAAACTGCCTTTGACTCTGGAGGCAGAAGATCCACATCCTGATTACTGGCCATATCTTTCCCAAATTTGTCCCATTGGCTTTTTAAGCCTTCCACATCAGTGACCATCACCAAACACTCTCGTGCCAGGTCCCTGTTCAGCGTGAAGGCCATTCACTGCAGCTCAGCATGGTCAAACCCACAGGTGTGTTAGGAGCATAAAATTGGATCTGGCCTGCACAGATCCCCAGCAGTGGATCCTGTACAATCCTTGGGGTGGAGGGACTGGCTTTGTGGTCACCGAGCTTCCTTGGCTGGAAAGTGAAAGAAGGAAGGAAGGAAGGAAGGAAGGAAGGAAGGAAGGAAGGAAGGAAGGAAGGGCGGGCTCTATCTGTGTAATTATTAATAATTAATCTATTAATATATTTGTCAATAAATGTATTCATTCCAATTGCTAATATGGCCCTAAAAATTTTTGCATCTTGATTTACTATCTATATAGGTCTGTATGAGCCCCGATGCAATTCATTTTCCTTTATCATTTTGCACAGTAATATTATGGCTGTGAAAGTTGGACCATAAGGAAGGCTGAGTGCCAAAGAATTAAAGCCTTTGACTTGTGGTGCTGGAGAAGAGTCCTGTGAGTCCCTTGGACTGCAAGGCGATCAGACTGCTCAGTCCTAGAGGAGATCAACTCTGGCTGCTCTTTAGAAGGCCAGATACTGAAGATGAAACTCAAATACTTTGGCCACCTAATGAGAAGGTAGGACTCACTGGAGAAGAGCCTAATGCTGGGAACAATAGATGGCAAAAGAAGAAGGGGACGGCAGAGAATGAGGTGGCTGGATGGAGTAACTCAAGCAGTCTGTGTGAGCTTGAGTGGACTCCAGGGGATGGTGGAGGACAGGAAGGCCTGGAGGAATGTTGTCCATGGGGTCACGATGGGTCGGGCATGACTTCACGACTAACAACAGCAATTAAATTAAATTTATGTTTTAAAATATTCAGCTTCATCTTAAGGCCTTTCTTTATTGGATCCTTTTGCAATTCAGATTCCAGCTTCTTCAGTTCGTCTGTTAATTTAAGTTGTTCTTGCTTTTTCCTTTTATTTATTTTTGCGGTATATGTAATAATCAATACTCTAACTTATGCTTCGCAGTATCCCAAACATTTTGTAGGGAAGTTTCTTCTATTTTGTGCTCTTGAAAGAAAAATTCCACCTCCCTTGTTATTTCTTCTTTGAAATTTTTGTTTTTCAATAAATATAATTTATTTAATGTCCATCTAGGTAATTTTCTTGTTCCTTTCCAAGACATAGTTATATGATTGTGGTCAGCCCATACTTTAGGGCCTAAAGTACCGTATGTAATTCTTCTGGTCAAAGATTTCCTGTTGGTCATGAGGTGCATATACTGCCACCAAAAGAGCCTTCTTTTGTTTTACCATTACCAACCATTAGAATTCTTCCATCTTCATCTGAAAATATGTGTTTAGGGTTCAAGTTTTCTTTTATATATAGAGCCAGTCCCCTTTTCTTTTGTTTAGCTGAAGATATGAATACCTTACCAAGTTTTGAGAATTCCAAAAGTTTTTGATGCTGTTTTTTATATGCATTTCTTGTAGGCAAATTATGTCAATCTTCAGCTTTTGGAGCTGTGAAAATGCTTTTTTCCTCTTACCAGGAGAATTTAATCCACTTATATTTACTGAGAGCCTTTCCACTTTTCCTCCATTTTGATATTCATGTGTATACAATATTCATATTTATTTATATTTGGGCTTCCCATGCCTAACTTTCCTCTTTTCTCTTTGCTCCATTGATTGTTCTTCTCCTTTTTTTTCTGGTGTTTCTGTTTCTTCTTCACTTAAAAGATGTGCAGTTGCTGCATCCACCTCTCCATTTTTCTTTTTCTCCTTCTTTTCTGTCAGTTCTCCATCTTCAAAAGAGCACCTAAAGTTTTCATAAAATCCTTGTGCTTTAAGAGTTGTATCCAGTCTAAATCTTCTAGAGTTCCAGTTGAAAAGTATCCCTTCTGGCACAAACCATCTAAACATAAATCCTTTCATTGTCAGCTTTGAAGTAGGGAACTGGTACTTCTTCCGTCCTTCTCTGATTCTCCATGGGATCTGTCTCAAAACAACCATCTGGTATTCTCCATATTGCAATGGCTGTTCACTCACCCTTCTGAGTATTCCATCTCTTATTGATCTTTTTGCGAATTTGATATGAACTTTTCTGGGGAGCCTGTCTTCTCACATAGCTCAAATTCACTCTATAAAGCAAGTCAACTCCTCTCTCCATTTCTTCCTTCTCCACATCAAGTACTTCCACTAACATTGTTGCTATTAACTTATTTAAGTCTTCTTCTTCTTTTTTTTTTGTCTCTAGTATGTTCTGTCGTCTCAAATATTTAGAGGCCTTTTCCATCTCCAATATAGCAACTGAGTCCCACAATGTTGTATTCATTTGTGTCAGATGTTCTACCTCTTTATTTATCTCTACCATCTTCTGGTCAATAGTATCAGTCTTGTTTTCCAACTCTTGAATTTTTTGTTCATTCTGTGTTGTTTTATGTTGAATATCAGCTAATTGAGCATTTATAGCAAGTATATGTCTATCCATTTCCTCGTTTCCTCATTTCATTTTGAGGCCATTTTTAATAGACTCTTGGATTGCTTGAAGTGTTGTCTGTTACTCCTTTTGAAAATTGTTGAATTTATTCTATTGGATCATCACATCCAGTATTTTTTGTTGATGAACTAGGCTGGAGGCTCCCGAAGAGGGGGCAGAAGATGAAGTAGTAGTCTTTTTAGAGCTCTTGTAAAGACAGGGGAGGCTCATTATTGAGATCAAAAATCAAAATCGGTTTGCAGATGAAAGATTAATTCAATCTTACTTCCTTCAGATTTTAAGATATAATAGAATGCTAATATAAGTAAGTAGAAAGGCAATTAAGTCCATATTCAAATTTCAGATGAATACCACCTTCTCCTCACTTAGATAGCCTAAAATATTATTCCAATTATTTCCTCTTCTCCAGTTCTTATAATTACTTAATAACAATCCCCTTCCAGTTGTTTTAACAGATAAGCAGTCACATCCAACACAAATAGTGCAGTCTCTCCAGCCAAATAGTTCAAGTAACTTAAACTCTTCTAACATTCCAATATTTTGATTTATGTTCTCCATGTATTTGCAATCGGCTAAGAGCCAAGCAAAGAAAAATAAACAACCATAAAAAGATTATGCCCTAATCTTTAATCAAAAGATTATGTTTTGATACAAAACACCTTCACGATGTTTTGTATCAAAACAACTGGAACATATTTCCGTCACCACCCAAAGGCTGGGAATCAGGAGTCAAAGTTTTAGTCTGAGCCGCTTGCAATAGATCAAAGTGACCACAGGGTGGCAACAGAGAGCTCCTTATTATTCCCAATGAACGTCTTCATTCTTCATAGTAAGAGAGTTTGAACTGTAACCGGAAATGATTAGTCCGAGATTAGAGTCCAAAATCAAGAATAAAAAGAAAGAAAAAAAATATTTTCCTCTCAGATTGATTTAAGGTAAGCTTCCAGTCTTATCTTTCACCAGTTGGAATGTTAAAATTCTGCTTTTTCCACATCTCAATCTTTAACTCTTTTCAGTTAACCTCCTTCAATTCTGTCACCGCTTTTATTCCAGGGTGAGGATGTGGTGGGATTCTCTTCCTCTTCTGTTTGAAACTGGGCTTTTTTTTTTTTTTTTTAAGTAATTGCTTCTTCCTGAGATTTCCTTTTAGGGGCTCAATTTTAATCTCACCCAGAAGGTCCAAAGTCCGAGTGCCAGGGTTATTATTTTTCCCGCTTTTTTTGCCAGAGCCGATGGCTAGAGAAGGGTATTCACCTCACGTCTGTTCTCCAGTAATTCAATGATTTGCCTGGTTCAAGTACAGCAGCCACCGTTACTCCATGTACCAGGGCAGCTCGCTTCTTTGCCCACCCCCACAGGGTGGTCTTCAAGATCTGCGAGCCCACCAGGGAGCAGATTTCAGCATGAAATACGGAGCCCCAGTGTATCCGCAATGTATCCCAGAAGTCTATTTTGCGCACTAATACTAATTGATGTCTTTTTTTTCTCTCCAGCAGGTTTCTGCTTATCCCATATTTTATTTATTACCATACTGAAATCAACAGCCAGTATTACATATCCTTTCTTTAATAAGTTTCTTTAAAAAACTTTTAAGAAAGACATTTGGTTTTTATTTGGCACATACCTGTTAACTAATGTGCCAAACTAATAACTAATAACTAACTCCTCTTATTTAAGCTGCAAGATCAATTATCTTCCTCTTTCATCTTTTTTTACTTTTTAAATCTTAATCTCCTCCTTCTTTGAATAAATATTTGCTACTCCCCTTGAAGTGGAAGATCCAAACTCTTTTTCATAGATATTTCACCATGTTGCTATGAGTTCAATTATCCCCTTATTTTTCTGATGAGTCTCCTGTCCGCCTTTTCTTCATTCATCATTGCTCCGATTCTAGATCTATAACATTTCATGATATGAGTCTCCTAGTTTTCAGCATATCCTCTTAGGTACATGTATCTTTGTTTGTCCTGGGTGAACCTGCTGCACAAATATAGAAAGAAAACAGGGAAACCATTCCTCCCCGCACTGTTCTCCCCACCCTTCCCTTCCCTTCAGTCCAAAACATGCGCAGTATCGTGTCCACTTCCCCAAAGGAGAAAATTGTGCTTTGGGGCAGGTAGGGAAGAAGGGACAACTGCCATTCCCAGCTCTTTATGCCTCTATCACTTGTAAAACCACTTCCCATCAATCCCATTTTCTAAATTGTTGCTATTGCATATTTTATGCACCATTCTGCACCTCTCCCTCACCTAAACATCCTCCCAGTGCTCCGAACATTTCTTCTATGCCACTTTGATTGTTTCCTCCTGATATTTCCCAAACTTTCTCTTCAATTACTGCTACTTCTTGTTTCCGTGGATCTTCATCTATTAACCCCCATTTGAATGGCATATTTCAACCTTTTGTCAGAGAGTTGATTCTAACATATTCCCCATTATAAAAAACTCTAGCTTATAATGGATATCCCCACTGATATCTTATGTTACCCCTTTCAAATATGTTCTTGATCATATTCAAAGAATACCTCAGCCTATAGTTTGATGCCAAAGATCTTGATAGACTTGTATAGGGGCTTCCATAATTTTAAATTGTCTCATGTCAACTCTCACTTTTTTTCATAATCCTCTCTTTATAGTAATTAGCAAATTAGATCAAAATGACTTTGTGGAACTCTCTAGGTCCAAGCTTGGGACCTGCTCTGTATATTCTTTCAGTATCTTGATCTTCCCATCTCTCATCTGGATCTGGAAGGAGATTTCTAAGTCATTCCAACACATCAGTCTTAAAATCTCTCTCTCCTGCATGTGCTCATTCTGAAAGATCCCCCTGGATTTTCATTCTGTCTACTAGGGTGTTTGCCATTCTGCCCAGTTTTGTATCATCTGCAAATTTCATTATCTTTCCTTATACTTCCTCATCTAAATGATTAATCAAGATGCTTAGGGGCCCAGGACTGACCCTGTAGCACCCTACTAGTTACCTCCATCCAATCTGAGAAGATGCCATTGATGAGCACTCTCTGGGTCAGGTTTAGCAGCCAATTTTGGATCCACCTAAAAATGTTCCATCTAGCCCAGTTTATCCTAATTTGCTTATCAGAATGTCATGTGGCACTATGTCGAAAGCTTTTCTAAAGCCTAGGTAGATTCTGTCCACAGCATTCACTTTGTCCATTTGGGAGGTTACCCAGACAAAAAAAATGAAAT